AATATGAAGTGTGAGGAAGCGGGTACCCAGTGTGTGACGAAGCAGGTATCTAGTGTGTGACGAAGCTGGTACCCAGTGTGACGAAGCGGGTACCCAGTGTGTGACGAAGCAGGTATCTAGTGTGAGACTTAATATATTAATATATAGTTATGCTTGCGGGGGTTGAGCTCTGCTCTTTCAGCCCAGCCTCTCAACTGTCAATCAATGAACTGTTACTAATTACTAACTGGTTTTTTTTTTACAAACACACACACAGGAAGCAGCCCGTAGCAGCTGTCTAACTCCCATGTACCTCTTTACTGCTAGGTAACAGGGGCATCAAGGTGAAAGAAACTGCCCATTTGTTTCCGCTGGCGCCGGGAATCGAACCCAGGTCCACAGGACTACGTATCCAGCGTGCTGTCCACTTAGTCACCAGCGCCCTTTGTGTCCGCGTGCGTGCGTGCGTGCGTGCGCCGTCGTCGTCCTAAGGTTCCCCACCGTCAAGAAACTGTCCTACTAAAGTGCCCTTATCGTAACCTACCAGTATGTCAATTTCGCGAGCCGCTACCATTTTTTAAGGCACTACGGGATCACCATAGCCCGTGTTACTTGGAACTCTCTGTTCCAGGTAGCGAATCTTTAACAACAATCTACCATTTACTAGTACGACGATTTTTGACCTTATGAAGAGTATACGTCAAAATGCGACGCGCGATTAGGGCGACCAGTTATTTCAGAGCCATCGTCGCCGGAGCGTCGGCCGGCGCCACTCGCCCCCACAAACAACACAATCCCATCAAATAAAAAAAATAAACTTTCCTCTCTCAGTGTTAAATAATAATGAAATTTCCTCTAGTCTACAAGGAGTTCCTTCTCCCTGGCCTTAAGGGGCAGTTTCCCCAAATCCCAGATGAGTGTCAAACGTGACAATAAGCTGTGGGTTAAGCTTGGGCACCCCGCCCAGGTCCGCCCAGGCCCGCCCAGGCCCGCCCACTGCCCCGCTACACACAACAAAACACGGGGCGGGGGGGGGGGGGGGGGGGGCAAAATAAAATATCAAATCACGCATAAATAAAAGTCTTCCCTGGCAAAAGAGCATCAACCTGAAAGCAAAACCAGAAGCTTAACAATTTAAAAATCAGCAAAAAAGATACCAAAATATTAGTCATAATAAATAATAAGCGCATGCAACTGAAAATTAAAAAAAAATATATGCAATAAACTCGAAATGAAGAGGTGGGGAAGTGTGTGTGTGTGTCCCAAAGCTAAGCTGTGACGGCCAGCACCGAGTATGTTTATTGAGACAAGAAAGAAATACATCTCAAAGGGATATGGTAGCTTAGGCTCTTTCTAACCCCCCAAGCACCCAGTGTGTCTGGCGAGGTAGTGTGTGCTTGCGCCTTGTGGAGCAGAGGCTGCTGCTGCTGCTGTTTGGTTAGACCTGTGTCTGCATGCTTGCTGTGGGGAGGGGGATTAGGGGGGGGGGTGGTCTGCGTGCATGTGTGTGTGTGGGGGGGGGGGGGGTATGAGAGCATGCATGCGTGGGATGATATGTGAGCGTGCTTGTATGGCGTGGGATGTATGAGCATGCATGTGTGGGGAGGGAAGGGGTTGGTCTCCGTGCATGCTTGTATGTGGGGGCGTATGAGCATGCATGTGTGGGGGCGTATGAGCATGCATGTGTGGGGAGAGGGGGGGGGGTATGTGAGCATGCATGTTGTGGGGGAAGGGTGTGAGCATGCTTGTGTAAAGGGGTAATGCTTGCATGTTTCTGTGAGAGGACATGCTTGTTGTAGGGGGTATGCGCGCGTGGCTGTGGGGAGGAAGAGGTATGCGTGCGTGTTTTTATACTGCGTTTGTATTCGTGCTTGTATGTGGGGTGGTATACGTCCCAGCTTGTGTGTAGTAGGTGCGCACACGCATGCAAGCACGTACGCGCGCGCGCGTGTGTGTGTGTGTGTGTGTGTGTGTGTTTTGTGTGGTGTGTGTGTGTGTGTGTGTGTGTGTGTGTGTGTGTGTGTGTGTGTGTGTGTGTGTGTGTGTGTGTGTGTGTGTTTTCACGTAGTTGTATTCACCTTGTGGGGGTTGAGCTCTGCTCTTTCGGCCCGCTTCTCAACTGTCAAGCAGTGTGTGCGTGTGCGTGTGCGTGTTTGTTCGTGCGTGTGCGTATACTCACCTAGTTGTGCTTGTGGGGGTTGAGCTCTGGCTCTTTGGTCCCGCCTCTCAACTGTCAGTGTTTAGGCCTGTGTGTGCTTGTTTGTATGAGCGCACTGTGCGTGCAAGGTTGTGTATAGTGCATATACAATTACTTGCATGTGTAGCGAATGTGTGCGCACGCGCGCGCCTGCACGCTAGTTTTATGGCTTGTGCTTGGAGGAAGAGGGGCCAGGTTCCAGGCATGAGCGTAATCATGTACGACAGAATGCGTATGTTTACATTCGTACTCGTGAGAACATGAATATATGTACACTTCATGTTAGTGAATGTTACTGAACGTTGGTATGCGTGAGCTGCGCGTGGGCCGAATAATGTGTGGTTTACGCTAATGTGCGAGCCTACGAGCAACATTCGTGCGTCTTCCAATGTAGAATGTTTATGTAGTGTGAATTTACTATTTGTGCCTGCAGAATCGAGCTATTAGCTCTTGGACCCCGCCTTTCTTAACAATCAATTTTTTTTTTTTACTCTATTATATCTGCTACATATATTTCTAATACATGTGTGTATATCACGAAAATAAAGAATTTTCTAATACATATGTGTGTGTGTGTGTGTGTGTGTGTGTGTGTGTGTGTGTGTGTGTGTGTGTGTGTGTGTGTGTGTGTGTGCATGCCTGTGTGTGTGTGTGTGTGTGTGTACTCACCTAGTTGTGTTTGCGGGGGTTGAGCTCTGGCTCTTTGGTCCCGCCTCTCAACCGTCAATCAACAGGTGTACAGATTCCTGAGCCTATCGGGCTCTATCATATCTACACTTGAAACTGTGTATGGAGTCAGCCTCCACCACATCACCCCCTAAAGGAGGTGTGTGTGTGTGTGTGTGTGTGTGTGTGTGTGTGTGTGTGTGTGTGTGTGTGTGTGTGTGTGTGTGTGTGAGACTGAGCGCACGCAGTATCAAATACACACACACACACTTGACCAAAGAGCCAAAGCTCAACCCCCGCAAGGACAACTAGGATAGTACCCACACACACGAATGATGAAAGGTGAAGAGTGTTACCGTGAGATCTGCCAATGGCCAGATGTCACCGACGGAGTCCCACAGGGTCCAGTACCTATCCTGTTTCTAATGTATACCAATGACCTACCAGAAGAAAAAACAACTCGTCCCTCTCAATGTTTGCTGAATACGCACCATATTATAAGAAGGATTAAGACGGGACAATAACAAGAGACTACCCGATGAAACTTGTGTAAGGCACCATCCAGAGCCTGGTACATCACACATGTCAGACCAATCCTGGAGTATGCGGCTCCTGCAAGGAGTCCATATCTAGTCAAGCCCAAGACGAAGTTACAGAACGTTCAGAAGTACGCAACCAGATTAGTCCCAGAGTTGATAGGTATGAGTTACGATGAAAGGCTGCACGAATTAAACCTCATGTCACTAAAAGACACAAGAGTTAGGGAAGACATGATTACCACATACAAAATCCTCAGGGGATTTGATATGATAAACAAGGACAGACTGTTCAGAGAACGGATGGTATTTAGCACGAACGGGGGACAGGTGGAAACAGTGGTCAAATGAGCCACATACGTTAGAAACAAACACACACACACACACACACACACGAGCTAATGTTCGACCTGCAGGCACAAATAGGCGAGTACACGCACATCGCTCGAGAGGGTTGTAGTCCTATGAGCCCGGGTTCGATTCCAGGCTGAGATAGATACAAATGTGCCCAGTTTCTTTCACCTTATGCGCCTGTTTACCGGACAGTAAACAGGTACCTTGGAGTTAAGACAGCAGCCACGGGCTGCATCCTGGGGATGTGTGCGTGTGGTGCTTGAGACATATTTGAAGCAGTAGATGAGAGAGAAAATAGGATGGGAGTCGGTACATTAGACAACTATCAGTTAGAAGAGGGAGTCGAAGAAAGCTCGATCCTACAGGCGCAAATAGTAAATAAGGATAGTAAACACATAGGCACGCGAATGCGCGCGCGCGCGCGCACACGCACACACACACACACACACACACACACACACACACACACACACACACACACACACACACACACACACACACACACACACACTGATAAACGGAAGAGCCAGAGGCCTCCGGGAGGGGTGAACACCCAGATAGGCCGGGAGAGACGCCAGGAAAATATCAGAAGCATAAGAGTTGCAAGTAAACGGATCAGACAACAAGAGAGGATGGTCACGGCAAGTGAAGGAATACCTTTGTGTTAACTGACCGAGAGGGTCGGGAAGGCGGGATGGAAGAGAGGGAACTGTTCCATCTAGGTGAGCACGCGCTGGTACGCATCACAGTGTACACTTGGGTGTGTGTGTGTGTGTGTGTGTGTGTGTGTGTGTGTGTGTGTGTGGTGAGAGGTTACAATACTAGAAGAGACGCCCCAAGCTCCACCAGTCCTTAAGACCAAGCTATAGGGGACCATGCTGTGTGTTAGACTGGTGAGTTGTTGTTGTTAAAGATTTAGCTACTCAGGACGAAGTGTCCATGTAGCACGGGCTATGGTGAGCCCGTAAGACTGGTGAGTGCGGGGCGGTGTTAAGGAGACGCTTCTACAGGAGTGTGTGTGGGGGGTGAGGTGGTGGTGGTGGTGCACGTCGTGGTGGTGGTGGTGCATGTGGTGGTGATGGTGAAGGAGGCGGTGAAGGAGGCGGTGAGGGAGGGGGGTGGGGGAGAGGAGAGGGAAGGAGGGGGGGGGGGGGGGAGTGCTTTAATAAGTGACTGCCACACATCAAGACTAGTCCGGTGTGAGAGCTTAGCTACTGTTGCCATCATCTTTGTGTTTCATGTTGAGAAAACTGATAGACTCTTCTTACCTGGCAAATCGTTCCTTGTCCTGCATGTTATCGTCCGCCGACTCCATCCTGCCATATTTGGACCCCGAGCTCTCCTCCTCATCTGACCTGAAACACCAGAAGAGACCATTAGACCATCTGCCACATTTGGCTACCTCCTTAACTTCTGCTCTCAGTAAGAACCGGGACAGCCAACACAGCCTACCTCAAGTTCAAGTATATTTATTGAGACAAGAAAGAAATACATCTCAAAGGGATAGAGTAGCTTAGGCTATTTCTACCCCCCACAGCCTACTGTATTACCTACAGCAATTTTAGGCACCCACACAAGTACTTAAGTCAATACCGTATTAGAAGACTTAATTATCAATCATAGCAAGTGTCTCAAGACGATTTGCGGTAAATAATAAGGATAACAATTGATATTTTTTTATATTTCTCAGACCAAGATATGGTCTGATGAGCGAGGGCGAGGGCGGTGAAGGAGACGCCTGTGTTGTCAGCCACGCCACATCTATCTTGAGATTATCTTGAGATGATTTCGGGGCTTTAGTGTCCCCGCAGCCCGGTCCTCGACCAGGCCTCCACCCCCAGGAAGCAGCCCGTGACAGCTGACCCAGGTACCCATTTTACTGCTAGGTAACAGGGGCATAGGGTGAAAGAAACTCTGCCCATTGTTTCTCGCCGGCGCCTGGGATCGAACCCAGGATCACAAGTCCAGCGTGCTGTCCGCTCGGCCGACCGGCCCCCCTATCTCCACTTACTCTTCACACACGTTTTCGGAAAAAAAAACCACTGACGACGGCTAAAATAATTCAAAGTAAACTGGCAATGTTCTACATCAGAAAGGAGCGGGTACCTTGAGGTTACCTTGAGGTGCTTCCGGGGCTTAGCGTCTCCGCGGCCCGGTCGTCGACCAGGCCTCCTGGTTGCCGGACTGATCAACCAGGCTGTTGGACGCGGCTGCTCGCAGCCTGACGTCCAACAGACGACCTGACGAGGTAGGCCTCGTGTCTCACACACTAGGATAATAGAAATTCTTGAAGCCTAAAAAAAAGGATTATCCAAATTCCAAATGGATATTTGGATATATTCACTAAAAAAAAAGACTATCCAAATTCTATCTAAATGGATCCGCGGAGCAAGCCTCGAACGACAAATAATTTATATTATTATTAATATCTTTATTGACAAAATTTAATTACAACTTTGCCTAATCTGAGGATTTCAATCAAATCTTATTAAAGTGAGGATAATGCTGGTATTTTTACCAGACCACACACTAGAAGGTGAAGGGACGACGACGTTTCGGTCCGTCCTGGACCACAATCGACTTGAGAATGGTCCAGGACGGACCGAAACGTCGTCGTCCCTTCACCTGCTAGTGTGTGGTCTGGTCAACATACTTTAGCCACGTTATTGTGACTCATCGCCTGCAAATGCTGGTATTCACTGTCACACAGGACAGAGGGTCATACACAAGACAATAGGTCTAAACTATGTAGGCTGAAGCACATATATAATATCATTGTTATAGTCAATGTTTTAATGAATGCCATATGTAAAATCAATTTTCTATTGTGCACTGCCACACAAGGGCAGGGATGGGTTCATAAGAGATTCAACTTAAAAATAATAAAATAAAATTGTTCTTCATTCTTTAAATGGACAAGAAAACTTAGGATAAATTGTTAGGATGTCGTCCAGTACACCAGATTCAATGAAATAGTTACATGGTACAATAGGCCAGGAGGTCTAAAATCTTTTACGGTTTCACATTCAACAATATAGTGTTCTAGTGAATGCATTAAAGGTTTGTCACAGAGTTTACAATCTGAGTATTCTGGTAGTGGCTCAGCCTCACTAACCTGCCAGGTGTGTGTATAGCCGAGGCGAATTCGCGCAATGACTATATCACATTGCCTGGTCCGGTTACTGTGCTGACCATACAAATACCTATTATTACAAAACTTGTCCTTGCCTTTAATACTGCAGCTTTCAGGTCTCTGGGCATTTCTTAGTTCTTCTAAATCTGAATTAATTTCTCTAATTTGAACGACAAATACCGCGTTCCAGTGCATGAGAAGCCTTACACAAATGTGAAACTCCACGCAAGAAATGCTCAGCAAATAGGTGAAGGAAACATTATAAAACTCATTACCTAGGGTTAATGAACACAAGACTGGTGAAGCTGAGGTGCGTGCTTGCCTATACTTCACTCAACTCACTCCTCAGCACCTTAGGTATCACGCTGAGACAAACACTTGAGTATTTATGCTTGGAGAGAATACACACAAGACCTCACTGTGAATGTACTCAAGCAGCCAGTGGACTGCTTGTCTGAGGCGGATCAACAAGCTGCTTGTTCACACCACGCTCCAAACCCCCAACCCCCCTCCCTCCAAGCTTGTTCTGCCCATGCTCCAACCTCATATGCCCCACCAACCATTGGTGGTGACCACACAGGCCTCCACCCCCGGAAGCCATTTATCAAAGGGGCCGTCAAGTCCACTACATATAAAATCCACTACATATAAAATCTGCATACCACAGTATTTATGTCATAACACGACTGTGTTTGAAGTTGTGACTGTAGAGACATGTGGTTCACCACCAGCTTGTGTTGACAACACTCCCTCCCTCAACACAACCACAACACCTAACCCAACCTCACATAGTCCTAACATGTGCATAAACCCCACAATAATAAACACATATTTAAAGGAAAAAAATTAATTATACGGCATGAAGAATCCACTCTTATCAGTTTATTGTCTGATGAACAGGTCAAATACTGACACAATCAACCAGTCATTATCTGACTGACAGCTTGGCTTGGAGGGATGGGTTGTCCATGCATTGAGAACCAGATTTAACAATTTCAAGCACACCAAACGCTACCTGATCAACCGGGCTGTGATTCTCACGCCAGCATGTGTGGAGTACGAGGCAGCTGAGAGGCGCAAGGCACCGAGCACCAGCTGAAGCCATCACCACCTATATTCCTCCTCCTCACTTTCAACACCTTTATCATGTGTATAAAATAAAATTATGACGTCAAGAAGGTATATTTGGTCTTCTATCACTTATAGTAATAATCTTATCTGTGAATGTTAATTACATTCCCTCTCTCACAAACACCAGGGGGGTCCCCACACACCCTCATATACACCAGGGGTCCCCACACACCCTCACATACACCAGGGGTCCCCACACACCCTCACATACACCAGGGGTCCCCACACACCCTCACATACACCAGGGGTCCCCACACACCCTCACATACACCAGGGGGTCCCCACACACCCTCACAAACACCAGGGGTCCCCACACACCCTCACACACACCAGGGGGTCCCCACACACCCTCACATACACCAGGGGTCCCCACACACCCTCACACACACCAGGGGGTCCCCACACACCCTCACAAACACCAGGGGGGTCCCCCACACCCTCACATACACCAGGGGGGTCCCCCACACCCTCACATACACCAGGGGGGTCCCCACACCCTCACATACACCAGGGGGTCCCCACACACCCTCACACACACCAGGGGGGTCCCCACACACCCTCACATACACCAGGGGGTCCCCACACACCCTCACAAACACCAAGGCCCAACATCTTACCCTGATATATTGGTTGACATCACGATCAAGTTGAGGTCTGTAGCTGCCCAAGAGCATCGCGACTACCCGTTCCAGTATCACATATCAACACACTACTCCTCCAAAACAAGATGCGTAACTAGGATCTTATTCTTAAGATTTAGCTTAAGAATGAAAACAAATTCGTCCGATTTCTTGGAGCGTCGGACTGTTGTTATAGGTTGTGGCTTAGCCTGCCCGGGATGTTGTAGAATGCCAAGCCCGGGTTGAGAGAGGCGAATGGACTGTTGTAGGTTGTGGCTTAAGCTTGCCCGGGATGTTGTAGAATGCCAAGCCCGGGTTGAGAGAGGCGATGGGACTCTCAGGGGAGAGCAGTGGGTATACACTCTCCCTCCCAGAATGGCCACCACTGACCACTACCCAAACACGGTCTCACGACCCAGGTCTCCTTCATGACCCTAAGGAACGCCCAGCCAGGTGTATTTCACCCGAGAGTCCTAAGCTAAGTGTAGTTAAGGTGTAGGTGCGAGTATAGTCGAAGGCCTAATCTTGGGGCATGTACCTGGGACTTAAGGTGAAGCTTGCCTCAAAGGTAACACCCCAGCGCCAACACCTAGGGAGGCATGTAGGTAAGCAGGACCCACCGGCTACGGACACGTTCTGGCGGCCTAAAGTCTTGAGTATTATCTTAGGGGGGAAAAGGACGACTGTGAAAGCTATCTTGAGATCTTGAGGTTATCTTGAGATGATTTCGGGGCCTTTAGTGTCCCCGCGGCCCGGTCCTCGACCAGGCCTCCACCCCTAGGAAGCAACCCATGACAGCTGACTAACACCCAGGTACCTATTTTACTGCTAGGTAACAGGGGCATAGGGTGAAAGAAACTCTGCCCATTGTTTCTCGGCGGCGCCTGGGATCGAACTCAGGACCACAGGATCATAAGTCCAGTGTGCTGTCCGCTCGGCCGACCGGCTCCCTCCCTCTGGCTGACCAGAGTCGTCGTATAGTTTCACAGAGCTGAATATCAACATGAATCTATCTTGTGATTTGTGCATTATCTCTTAATACAATTACAGCATCAAATTCTTAATATTTTATATTGTGCAATAACGTAAAACGTTGGCAATACATTCGAAGGATTTGACAGTTAATTATTATAATATAAACAAAGATGAATGGTTAACGTTTGGGAAATGAAGCGTTAAAATAAATTAAGTTAATATTCAATGTTCCTATAGTCCAACGTACTCTTGTAGATATGATAGAGTCCAGTAGGCTCAGGAACCTGTACACCAGTTGATTGACGGTTGAGAGGCGGGACCAAAGAGCCGAAGCTCAACCCGCTGCAAGCACAACTAGGCGAGTACTCTTGTGTTCGATCCCCGATGGTCCAAGACCTTGCGTCTCCTCAAGGTTTCACACTTCTTAGTCTGGGCGTCGTTAGCAAACATGACATGTACTGCAGTGTGCTTGTCATGGAACACACTGCCACTGTGT